GCAAACTTGCACCTTTCTCCCTGTTCCAACGACATCTTCTGAGCGTCAATGCATCTTTCAGTGCAACGTCAATTTCACAAGACAGCTCGAGCCGACCGCTCACTCATACGTTGACTTTAGGAGACAATGTCACTTAACCAACCGACTCCAACTGCATTCCAATATGTCAGCAAGCCAGCAAGTGTATGTACATCTGTGGGCTTAAGTCAGGGTTTACATACTGCACAAGATGTAAAACTTACAATTCATATTCACTGGGTGGGCCTTTGCTTGCCAAAAACAACTATGGATTCATTGGTGCCAAAAAATATTAATAATTGGTGATAAAAATAAAAAAAAACATAATTGATGCTAGACGAGCCAAAACCTGTGAAAAGTGAGTTCAAGACTTCAAGACAGTATGCAGGCCAGGAGAATAAGTTGGTCTGGGAAATATGGAATTCAAGTGTAAGGCGCTTAACTTGCAGCTGCATTAGCTGAATAGTGCACCATTAAATTCAAAAGCTGACTGTACGGAAAGCAAACATCACACATCTTTGGACTGTTCTCTCCACCCTTGAAGGTTATGGAACCCAGGTAGAAGTCTGTCATTACCAGACTGTACTGAAGGAGAACTTAGACGCAGGGATTTCCATTTGATGAAGCCCTTTATTGACGAAATCTCAAAGGAGGAGGAGGAGGGTGGAGCATGCCTAGGCCCTGACATAATAACACACCTACAGGCCCAACAGCCGACACACATGTCGAAGGTAAACACGCGTGTCAGAGGGCACAGGAGCACAGACAGACATGATGAATGGCTCCAAGTTCCCACGAGGCGACACGCATACAAACCTGCTTGGACAGAGAGGAAGGTGATGTGTGGTCAGCCCCTCCTCATCACTGCAATACAGAGAATCCCATTCACACACACTGCACCGGCCCTCGATGTCATTACTAATCACAACAATGGCACTGTAACACCATATGTTTGTGTGTGCGCGTGTGGTTGTGCGAATGTGCGTACACATGTGTAAGTTCCTGCATATGAGAGATTATGCCGTGTGTGAATGTCATTTCAAAACCAAGTGAACGTGGCGCTGTGTGTTGGAGATATCAATGCCTAAACATGCAAGATAAGTGTGTGTGTGAGCGTGAATACGTTTGGGAGTGAATTTGTGAGGGTGTGTGTGTGTCCATGCCCCTCGAAGAGATCAGCGAGCGGGGACATGACCTTGCCAGAACAGCTGGCCTCTCTGTGTGTTTAGTCAGAGTTACCATGACGATGGTGCCGTGCAGACAGGATGTCTACGTTTGGGATTTGAAAGTCATAACGTCGCTACTGCTCTAAGCTTCATTATGCCATGGGTTACTGTAACCAGCCAGCAAACACACTTCATGGACACACTTCATGGACACACTTCATGGACACACTTCATGGACACACTTCATGGACAGCGGTGAACTTCAGTTGTTACAGGTTTGTGCTCATTACATTTCCATCATGTAGAATATTTCCTTTGTCTCTTTGATTGAATAACATGATAATAATGAGTGAGGAGTAAGTTTGCATTTTAGGAAGAACTGCAGGTGTGTTTCTAAGAACAAGTGATGAGCAAACATTCAAAGCGATGGTAAGGAAGGGAAGAGCACCTGTGTTTGTGTTACACTGAGCGATGACGTTTTTGATTATTTGTGATATCTTTGTCCAACATGTTATTTTGGACAAAGTAGATAAATACAAGACATAAGCATATTAGGCAAAAGCAGGCGCCTACAGTGATATTATCATTTTTATCTCCATTGCCCTTTCGTGCCTTTACCTCTTCCAAGGAGGTAATGTTTTCATCTGTGTGTTTTTGTTTGTCGGTTTGTTTGTAGGATTACGCAAAAACCTGAGGGTTGTGGTACAGGTCAGGAAAGAAACCAATACATTTTGCTGTGGACCAAAGAATTGCATTTTCTCAAGATTTTTTGTAGATCTCTCAAAAGTAAATTCATGGATCTTGATGAAAACAATCAAGCAGGTTTAGGAAACTGATATGAAATGAAATGTAAATCATCAGGTTTATGAGATTCTTCTTTTTTGTCTGAAGTGGTGCACGTGTGTTTTCTGATACATGTTGTGTTCCCCTCTGACCCACTGGTCTCCCTCTCTCTGGCTCTCTTCTGCTAACCAGACTCTCCTCCCTCCCGCCCTCCTCAGCTCTACTTCATCTTCTCCCTGCTCTTTCCTCCACCACTCCCTCCATCATCCTCTCCCTCCCTCCCTTCCTTCATTCATCAACCCCCCTCCATCGATCACTCTCGCACTCTGTCATCCTCTTTCCCCATCATTTACTATTTCCTCCCTGACTCTCTGCTGCAGCCTCGCTCTTTTCCCTCTTCGACTTGTCTTGCAGTGTGGATAGAATATACTAATGTGTGCATAATTTCCCCCTCCATCTCTCAAAATGTCATCTCCCTCTTACTCTGCACCTAAAACTTTCCACTTTGTCAACTCCGTCTGCCTTTATGTGCCCACTCAAAACCTACCGCTACCTTTTCTTTGCTCTAAAATCAGTTTCCATCACTAAAATGTAAACAGAGATAATATCAGCGACATTCCCAGTGTCTACAGGAGGATCAGGTTCAGTAAACCACTGTGATGCGGTGGCATGTAGTATTATCCCATTCCGACTATGGAAACATCTCAATGACTAGCTATTCAAAATGTCCAAACACATAATTTCTCTATTGTGCACCTACACCCAGTGACCCTAGACTCATTTAATGACTAGCTCCTCTGGAGTCCATCTGTGTGTGTGTGTGTGCGTGAGCGTGTGTGTGTATGTATATGTACAGTATGGGGGAAACTCAATCTGGTGTGGGGTGACAGAGCAGAACCTGGACCACTCCTTATACTTCAAGCATTCAGCTCTATATATGAAAACGGCAAATATGAAAATCTCTCACACTCTCTCTAACACACTCTCTCTCTCTCACACACACACACACACACACACACACACACACACACACACAAAACAATGCAAGTGAGGGAAACCCAGCATGCAATGAGAGGATATTGAAAATGATTTTTTCCCCTCTTGTCTATTTCATTAACAGTGTTGAAAAGCCAACAGTCTGCTCTCTCCCTCCCTCTCTCCCTCCAGCCACACACACACATTCACACACACATTGAAAACACACACAGAGAGCTCTCCAGTTCACTGGGGAACGTGCCTCACATGGTTTGCTTCAGCTGGTCTTCTTGACAAATGCCACATTACAGCGGCGAGAAGGAGAGACTTGGCATGCAATCAAACTTCTCTCATGATTTCTAAGATTTGAAATACTTCAGTTTGTATAGCCCCTCCACTCCATCCTCACCTCCCTCTCATTCTCTCTCTCCCCGTCTCGTTTTTTTCCTTCTTCTTGCCTTCGCTCTAACCCCCCTCTCTCTTGTTACCTCTGTTTCTCTGCCCTATCTTTCCTGTTTAGTTTTCCCTGTGCTAACTTGGACCGGAGCTGTGCTGTGGGAACATGGCCCCCTTTTAAAGGCGAAAGCCAAAGTTTGTGTAAGTGAGTGATTATATGCGAGTTCCACTGAGGTTGTGCATGCGTTGTGCGTGCGTTTCTCTGCGGCTTGTTCAGATGCAAGTCAGTCTCACGAAGCTTCGCCCCTCGCAATTCAACAGTCCTTTAATCCTCATCACCAGTGACCCCAAACCTCAGCCTTCAACCTCTTTCTACACACACAGCCCAATGCACAAAGACCACACACACACACACAATCATGCCCCCTGTGCCCCTTCCATTAGCTCTTACCAGTGTTGACTCGTATTCAGACAAAGTCCCAAACACAAAAGCAAAGAATGCCATCTGCTTTATTGCTGCTCACGTCAACCAACCATCACATCAACTTTCTTTCTAATGGTAATATAATAATGATTTATGCCTATAGTGCGAAATAATGTCATCATTACCATTCACATGTCAGGTCCGTGAGCGTTTTCCTAATTTCACGTGCATACCTAGAAGCACGGATTGTGTCTGTAACATATGTGATACATTTCCTCTGCTAAACATCCCCGGTCATGTTTTGATGGTGGAAATTGGAACAGACAGGAAGATGGTTTGGATCCCAAATATATATATATAAGTGTGTGTGGCTACATAAGGAAGGGCACTGTCTTATTTGGTCTCCAGTAAACTATACACACACATTCTTTTACATTTAGTGTGATCAGAGGGGCTTGTGAGGCGTAATGAAGTTGTGTTTTCAATCGATGTGTACCAGCCTTCCCTTTTGTACTGTACTGAGTGGCTGACATTAAAGGCTTTTCTCTGCGGCACATGACAACCAGATATGTGGCTTCATGCTCCTTCAATCAGAGCACTCAAAGCAAACGCACATGTAGCTGCTCCACTCACACATTCACATATTCACTGACACACACTCACACATGGAAACGCAGCCTGTCCTGCACTTTTCCTTTTTTTGGGGGGTTTCCACCTCCTCTCTCTCTCTCTCTCTCTCTCTCTGTCTGTCACACACACACAAAGATGTCCACAAGAGCCAAACACATATTTTTATGGCCTCCTGTCTAAGACTGCACCACCTGTCCTCAATAAATGTAACTGTTCACAAGGCAGCTATAGACAACAGCTGATCCTGCCTCAAAACACACCTCGGCACTGATCTCTATATAACGTACATGCACAGATGCACATGTGAGCAAGTGAGTGGTTAAATGTGGCTAATGCGGCATCAGACACAGGTTTCTACCAGACACAACAACAAACCTGCTGTTCGGGGGGAAATGAAAATGCTCCTGATGAAACACAGAATGATTCATGCCGATGTTAATATACTTTTATGTCCTGGGTATGCAGCCACTAGCGCCAACAATTGTGGCCTGACTGTTCATCCACGATGAGGGAAGGAAGGAAGAAAGGTTGGTAGGTAAGTAGGTAGGTGGGTAAGAAGGTAGTTGGGTAGGTAGGTAGCTAGGTAGGTAAATGAGTGTGAAACTAACTTCATCTCCAGAATCTCCTCGAGCTGCTTGCGTCTCTCCTGGTGCAGACTGCTGACGTGTCCATCTCTTTCATGCAGGGACTGCTGCGTAGAGGACAGACGCATTTTGGTGGCGTCCAGCTCTTGTCGAGTCTTCTCCAAAGCTCCCATCAGCTCCTCCAGCTGTAGAAGGGAATATATAATTTTAAACTGAATGAAAACATACGTGAATACTCATGCACATGGCTCTGTTCACATATGTGAGACGTGTTGATTGTATCATACGAATCTACCATAAAATTCAAAATGCAAGATCTATTTAACACTTGTGGATGCCCGGTCTCTCTCACACACATGGGAAAAGCACAGGTCTTCAGGGAACACACGTGTGTGTATTTCAGAATGTGTGTGTTGGAATGTTATAATATGGTGAGATGACTGCCTAAAGATTAAAAGGAAAGGCCCATAGACAGAAATGAGCTGTTGAGACTAAGGTTAAAGGTTAGTTGAATGATATGTCCACTGACCCCTGTGTTGGAAACAAGGGTCCAGCTTTCTCCACTTACTCTACCTCTCTACTTTGGAGCAGGTGAGAATAATGCTCGACCCCTCAACGACGTTACCTCCCTCCGCACACACACACGCCCTCCAGCCATGGAGGTTTGTGTGTCCAACCTGAGCGTCTGATAGACAGGATGTGACCTCAGGGCGTCATTATCCGAGGGCAGGAAGTGTCTAATTGTCTAACAACAAGCACTTCACAACAGGATCCAGCACCAGGCAGGACTGTTCAGATTGAGTAAATGACAGATCAAGATAAAGAAAGTGATCTTTGATCTACAGATTTGTGATGTTTGACGGTGAAACAATAAATTCTGAAGTGTTGGATGTCAAACAAACAAAGGGAATGAAAGCAAAGAAGAAGCAAAGAATAAAATGAGTATTAGGGGAAAGCTCTCTATGGGGTAAGACATGAAAAAAGGAATGTGCCTCTTTTATGAAGGGGCCAAATCGTTCACACATTTTCAGGACACTCTCCGTCTGTGCCGGTTTTCTAGGTGTGCTTCACAGATGTCAGATAATGTTCTCCCCAACTGTTTATGAATATCACATATGGAGTGAGAGAAGGAAGGGCGGAAAGCAAAGCAAAGGGGGAGAGTAAAGAAATGCGAAATGGTGGGAAAGTGACAACTTTCAGAGATAATCTCCTGGAAATGGCAAACAAGGCATTGCTTCAAATAAATTATACCCTGCCTTGCCGCCAACGACAACTGACCCCCCATGTGTCCAGCAACTAATGTGCCCAATATCATTGAGACATCCAGCTGTCATCCAAAATCACCCCAAGTTTATGTTTGATGTCTCATTTCGCCCTGAACACAATCCAAATCTTTTCATCTCGACAGCCAAGTGTCTCACACATACACACACATACACACGTCTATCAATCCATATGCGTCAACTGCCCCCTCATAGGTCCACCACCCAGGTTAGCCCTCACTTCACAATCACATCATTAATAAGGAATACAATGCATTTTAGTGAAATTAGGGACCTAATCTGCTTAACGGTGAGCCTGTGCGTGCTAATTTAGCTCAACTTCAAGGCAAAGCCCCCCCAGCCAGTCTAAGGCTCGCTAAGACTGGCCCAAAGCCCCTTTAGTTGCTAAGCTGATTGGGGGCTCAGAGGTAAGGGAAAATCAAATCCCTCTTGTCCATTTGCGTCTGTGTTGCTGGTTCAAAGGCCTAGTTCAAACGCCACATGGGGGGAGAGAGGGAGCTAGACGGGAACAGAGGAGAAAAAGAAAGGGAGACAGAGTGAGGAGATAATTGGGTGAAACAACTTAAGGCAGATGAGAAAGAATGAGGCTCAGGACAATGGATGGAGACTGGGAGTCGTGCCAGATGCAGGTCAAGAGACAGAGAGCGGCGGAGGCGGACTGAGGAGACTTAGAGAGCCGGGGGTGTGAAGAAAAGTGACCCAGGGCATTACCCATGCTCCATTTCAGCAAGTCAGGCTGATGGAAGACTTTCAGCGCATTACACATCATGAGACTGATTACTCTGGGGCAAGAGGGGTGGTGAGGGGTGAGGGGCGGGAAGGGGGTAGCGAGTCTGGCAGGGCGCTCTGAAACGGTGCCAGGGTCAGCTGATGTTTCAGAAGAAGCTGTCCTACTCTCTTTCTCTCTCTCTCTCTACCCACCACCCCCAAGACCCCCCCACATACTCTGTTTCTCCAAAGTCTGAGAACGGCAGTTGACTGACAACTGTGAAACTGCACGTCAATGGCAGGTCGACTCGCTGCCTCCTCATGTGGTGATGTAACGTCGGCCCATAAAGGTCACCGTGTTGACAGCGCCTACCAGCGAGCACCAGTGGCTGAGCGGCGTCCGTCCTCACGTCGACAGCACTAGTGTAACTCTATTCCCGCTCGGTGCGCGTCATGTTCTGTCGCCAGCGTGACTGCGTGGCGGCTCAGTGCGTTCTCCCCGCATGTGTAGTGTCTGGACGGATTTGAAATGAAAGTAACCTGACAATTACTTCTTGGGGTCAATGAGTGTTAATGTGTCACAAGTTAAGAGAGGATTTCCCTGATTGGCTACACATGGGTGAACTCAGGTCAAAGCTGAATCATCCACTTCTGTGCACGCAAAAAAGTCCGACAAACATAAATAAACTTTTCTGTGGGCTGCTCGGTGGATTTGATTATTGTTTGATGAACGCAGTATCCAACCAATAGAGTAAAGTACAGAAATTAAGAGGAGGACATAAGACACAGTTAGCATATTCTCTCACTAATTTCTTTCAACTAAGTTTGACCTTTTTTTTGTTTTCCTACTCTCTCCACCAATATCCTCTCTTCATCGTCTCCTCTATCAGCTTCTGTGTTTTAATGTGTGTGTGGCTGTGATTGAGTATAGGAACATTATGTGTGCGTTTGAAGCAATGCAGCCACCATTTTTCCTGAAAATGTTAGTTCTTGTTTTAACCGCGAATTGCTCTCATGTTACTTGTGGCACGCATAAGTAATGCAAGGTCATTCTCATTCAAATGCACACTCACACCGAGAGGAAACACACTCCTTCGCCCTGTTTCTCTTTCCCACCACAGACACACCTACGCTCTCTCTCTCTCTCTCTC